TAAAAACCTCTAAGGAAGGAGATTCCACCACCTCCCTAGGTAACCCATTCCAGTCCTTCACCACCCTCCGAGTGAAAAAGTTTTTCCTAATATCCAACCTAAACCTCCCGCATTGCTCCTTGTTCTGTCATCTGGTACCACTGAGAATAGTCTAGATCCATCCTCTTTGGAACCCCCTTTCAGGTAGTTGAAAGCAGCTATCAAATCCCCCCCTCGTTCTTCTCTTCTGCAGTCTAAACAATCCCAGTTCCCTCAGCCTCTCCTCATAAGTCATGTGTTCCAGCCCCCTAATCATTTTTGTTGCTCTCCGCTGGACTCTTTCCAATTTTTCCACATCCTTCTTGTAGTGTGGGGCCCAAAACTGGATACAGTACTCCAGATGAGGCCTCACCAGTGTCCAATAGAGGGGAACGATCATGTCCCTCGATCTGCTGGCAATGCCCCTACTTATACAGCCCAAAATGTCGTTAGCCTTCTTGGCAACAAGGGCACACTGTCGACTCATATCCAGCTTCTTGTCAACTGTAACCCCTAGGTCCTTTTCTGCAGAACTGCTGCATAGCCATTCAGTCCCTAGCCTGTAGCAGTGCATGGGATTCTTCCGTCCTAAGTGCAGGACTCTGTTCTTGTCCTTGTTGAACCTCATCAGGTTTCTTTTGGCCTAATTCTCTAATTTGTGTAGGTCCCTCTGTATCCTATCCCTACCCTGCAGCGTATCCACCACTCCTCCCAGTTTAGTGTCATGTGCAAACTTGCTGAGAGTGCAGTCCATGCCATCCTCCAGATCTTGAACAAAACCAGCCGCAGGACCAACCCTTGGGGCACCCCACTTGATACCAGCTGTCAACTAGACATGGAGCCATTGATAACTACCTGTTGAGCCCGACGATCTAGCCAGCTTTCTATCCACCTTATAGTCCATTCATCCAGCCCATACTTCTTTAACTTGTGGGCAAGAATACTGTGGGAGACCGTATCGAAAGCTTTGCTAAAGTCAAGGAATAACACATCCACTGCTTTCCCCTCATCCACAGAGCCAGTTATCTCCTCATAGTAGGCAATTAGGTTAGTCAGGCATGACTTGCCCTTGGTGAATCCATGCTGACTGTTCCTGATCACTTTCCTCTCCTCTAAGGAAGAACCAACAGTAGCTGGAGAGGTAGAAATGAAACCAGAACAGCTAAATGTCTGAGAAGTTCAGCAAACAATGCCAGATTGGGAATGTCATGCTTAACAGTTTTAAAAGTAAGGTCACTCCAAGGTCAGGATGGATGATAAGAAGGAGTCCTAGTTAGAAAAGCCAAAAATCATCTCCTTCTCTTTGTGGTTCTCCTTCTCTTTGTGGTTCTCCACGAACTCTTTTCCCTAGTTTTCCATGAGACTGAATTCATCCTAAGTGCAGAGCTCTGCTCAGATCTTGGGAGTGGGAAGAGTGTATCTCCACAAACCTGCACCACATAGCCTTGGCAATAATTACAGCAGCTTAAGGGCTGATACAGGAGGCAGCTGTTCTACCTCCACAAGCTTTATACCAGTGGAAAGTTCATCTATGCATGGGGAATTCATTGCTGGTAACCTTCAGGCAGAGTATGTCCACTTTGCACTGGCTCTGTGGGTCAAAGGATATGTCTACACTGCACACTAAGCCCAGGCTCTTACTCAGGTTTGATCTCAAATCCCCCTTCTAGCCACACACAAATGACTATGATTTCAATCATCATGCATGCAGGACCTTGGTCTTAGGATCCTGCTTGGGGGATAGGTCAGAGCCCCAAGTCCCTCTGTGACTTGAATGCAAGTCTTATAATTTTGCAGTGTGGACACAGATCTAGCTGCAGACTTGAGTCAGAAAGTGAGTGTAGTGCAGCATGAATGCTTTGGCATAGTTGTGAGACCTGGATCCAGCAATTGTAAGTCCAGATTTGCAATGCAGCATGGATACTCAGGTGTGGGCTTGGAAACACGAGTCCACAAGCCCTGGTCCCACAGACTTATGTTTACAGTACAGTGTAAACATTTCCAAAGTGGCTTGAGTTGACTGGAGACCACCACCCTGTCCCCCGTTTCTTCCATTCCATGTGATCATTATTCAATACAAAGTTGAACAATAAAAATAAATCTACCAAAGTGAAGATGGTTTAAAAAAAAAGGTGGAAGAGGTGAGAATACCTGGAATAGTCACAACTCTGACATGGCTTTTGGAGACCATTGTGAATCCTGGCTGCTGTATGTAGACCATAGTTTGGGACACAAGACAACAATCTGTATCCAGCTCCAGCACATCGTTAGAAGTGTGTGGGGACCAGAGTTTTCATGCTGTGAAAAATTTTGCATTTGGAATGTCATGTTTTAAAAAGTCAGTTTCAGCAGCCAGCTCCTTGTCTACCTGGTCAGCTCACCATCTGGCAACTTGCTTGCCTGTTAAGCGGGCAGCCCAGGGATCCTGCTGCCTGGGAAGCCAGGAAGCCCAGGGAGTTGGCTAGCTGAGTAAGTACTACTAAGGAAACAGGACAGCTAGGAAGCCTGCAACCCAGGAATTCTGGCCATTTAGGCAACTGGCCAGGTAGGTAGCCACCACTGACTGGGCTGGGCAACCGACCCACCTGCAGGCAGAAAGCTAGGGAGCTGTCCAGCCTGTGAGCCAGCTTCCCAGGTAGTCTGGGGAACCTAGTAGTCCAGAGGCCTGCCAGGTAAGGAGCTGGGCAGCTGGGAGGGCTGGCAGGAAACTGGCTAGCCTGCCTGCTGGGTTTCAATCAAAAGTTTTTACAGAATCTAATTGATAGAAAGTTTTGATTCAGCAAATCAGCATTTCCCAACACAAAACTGTTCTGCTGGAAAATTCTTGACCAGCTCTATTCAAGGTGGGTTAGTATTCAGAAGTTTATAGACCATTGTGGACCTGGTTATTTTAAGCTCCTTCCCCAATTTTCACCCAGAAAGAGTGGTGCCATTTGGTTTCTTGAAACACTTTTTAGCATGAGTGTGGTTTTCTGAATTAGGGCTTCAGAGTTTACTTCTTCCTACTGTGGGAGTTGCATTCCATCCCGAAGTTCATGCTCTCTGTCCGTAGGGTTGGACCCCGTGGCTCAGGGATTAAGGCACTCTCATTGGAACAACTTGAGCACTGGAATTTCCTCCCTCATGCATTCTGCCCAAGTCCAAGTTTGGTGATTATTATTTTTAAGGGTACAAGTCAAGATTTGTTCACTCTGGCTTTTTCTTAATTTGTGCCCTCAGCCCAAGGGTATCCCATCAATAAGATAGGTGGCTGGTTTGTGCTAATTGCTAGACAGATGTTGATTTTAATGTCTGTAAAGTGCTTGGCTATCATGAACATAGATAGAATATCAATAACACAAATAAACAGCTTCATTTGTACTTCTTCCTTAACTTTAAGATTTTATTTTTCCCTTGTTGTTACATTGAAGTCCTTTGCTTAACAGCCCAGCGATGTCATATACATCAAGTCTAGGAAGGATTTGTTTCTCCATTTAATGTTTTACTTATAGGAGTTACAAGTTTATAGATACCAGCCCCTAGTGTTATGATACTATTTTAATTTAGAAGCAGATGACCGTTATTTCACTGTAAGCCTTTTCACAGATTTATAGAGTCATAAACCTGATGGTGCTTTAGGGATGCTTTCAAAGGAGAGCAATGAGAAACATTAGTGGGAATGTTTGAAAGAAAAGTGTTGCTGGATAGTCTAGAAGTTGTTTCAGATTTGTAATAATTTTGGTGGTGAATCTGAGTGCTTATCCAACTGACTGATAGTGTAGCCATATGGCATATTGTCTATATCTTCCATGCAAGCTTTGCCAGCATATCCTGCCAGTACTCCTCAGTTCTGAGAAAAAGAAAAATTGTGTATGCAGTGGTGTTGTAGCCATGTCAGTCCCATGATATTAGAGAGGTAAGGTGGGTGAAGTAATATCTTTTGTGAGACCAACCTCTGTTGGTGAGAGACACAAACATACTGGGAAAATGATTGTTTCCCAGACCTTAAGAAGAGCTCTGTGTAAGCTTGAAAGCTTGTCTCTCTCACCAACAGAAGTTGGTCCAGTAAAAGATATTAACTTGCACACCTTTTCTCTCTAATAAATAAATTAAAAAAATCTTGACATTCCAATCCAGGCTTGCCATAACCAAAGACTAACAATTGTGCCATGGTTTTCCAACATGGAAAAAATGCCCACTGCTGCCTAGATTGACCAAAATCACTACACATGTTAAAGGTTATGGCTCACTTGAAAATAATAATCTCTTTAATCCCTCCCTCACTATACAGTACTTTTTTTTCATTTACTAATAATATCTTTGTGGGAATTTTAGTGAGGCACCATTTTACTGTTCATTTTGCTTTACCCCGATTTTGCATCTTTCTTTTTCCTATTTGGATAGAATTCTTTGCAGCCATAATAGCCTGTTTGATAATGATTATGTGTGTAGTTCTATGTTTAAACAATGCTCTGAAGGGACTCTGAATGTACTCTTTCAATTGCCCCAAAAGCAGATAGCTTAGAAGCATATTAGAAATGCAAAGTGTTGAAACTTGACAATAGTAATCAGTTTTGCCTTGTCTCTAAAATAGTCATGTTTACCTCAGTAGTAAACATATTTAATGTATAATAAATATCTTCCTACATTACTAGAGTTGCTCTATGATCATCTATACTCTTATCTGATTACCTAAAATGTTGAGAAGGGACATCAGTCAATACCACTGGAAAAATGCAATGCCTAGCAGACTTTATGATTTTAGAAACAAGATAAAAGCTTTATGACTCAAAGAAAACAATCAAATGCTTTTTTGTAGCCACAAGCATCATATTTACTTAAAGGATTGTGACTATAAAAGCAAATATCTCTTACAGGAAGCCAGGACAAAAGCTGTCAGAGAACAGGGTAGTAAATAGCTCTGAAATTGTTTTCTCTGCTTCATTTCAAAAGCTTAAGGCTAAGAATGTTTGACCTTTTACAAATGGAATGGTTTCCTGCAGGTCATGGTGCTGTACTGAATGCTGATGGTTATGTGGAACTTGATGCAATCATCATGAATGGTAAAACTCTCGCTGCTGGCGCAGTCTCCTGCATCAGGAACATTTCTAATCCGGTGACATTTGCTTGTTCAGTCTTGGAAAAGGTAGAGAACTTTTATTTTCTTCATTAGTTCTAATGTTTCTTGACAGGGGGACAAATAAGATTGTGTAATTGTTAAAAATGATCCAGAAAATGTAAAAGGGTCAGGAAGAGAAATGTTAAGTTAAACAAATAATCTAACTAATCACATCTGTTGTCAGTCATTTGTCACCACGACAAATTAGTGAAATATGTAAGGTGTTTCAATTGAAAATTATATTATTATTTTAGCATTAACAATTTAATTTTTAATGCATTTATGCTGATTAAATCTTGATCCCACTGAGGTCAACGGAAGTTTTTCTGTTGACCTCAGTGGGATCAGACTTGGCCTTAAGTGTACACAATTTTTATTTGTTGGTTTGTTAATATTTCCTATGTAAGCTAATGCTTTCTTCCATACTGCCCCTGATGTATACCCCTGTCTGGTATAAAAGCATATATCATGCTTGCAAGAAACACAGAGAGAGACAACAGCCCCAAACATCCCTGGAATGTATATTTCCGTGAACATAAAAAGCAACATCTGTGGCAGCACAATACTTGTACCAGACAAAAGACAGGGGAAAACCACTACTGCGAAACACTGTGGTACAATGGAATTGATCAAATCGCAGTAGTTTCTGTTTACAAGCCATCAGCTGAACAGTTTGCATGGCCAGCCAACTTTCTCCTGTCAGAAAAACCCTGCCTTGTCATAGGGGACTTCAATAGTCACAACACCATCTGGGATACCCCAACAATGACAATAATAAGGAAGAATTTGAGAAGTGGGCAGCGACAAACAACTTGATCTTGCTCTATGATTTCAATGACAAATATACCTTCCAAAGCACATGATGGAACAAAGAGTACAATCCCAACGTACCCTTTGTTATTCATCAAAATACAGGCAACTTCAAAAAGGAGGTCATGGCAGCAATTCCAAGGTCAAAGCATAGACCAATGCAAGTGCCATTAGAGGCTATGGTACAGCCCAGGAAAACAAAGTATCTGCTGAGATTCAGCTTTAGGAAGGCCGACTGGGAAGCCTTTACCTCTGAATTGGATTAATCCATCTGTGATATTACTCTGGCACATGAGCGTTATGGAGAATTTGTCTCCCTGGTGTGGAAGACTGCCCCAAAGTACACCCCTCTGGAACACTGGAAATTATTTGTACCTGGGCTTTCAGAACAGACCAGAAATAATCTAAAATATATTCAAAACTGTTTGACTTGGATCCGTTTGATGAAGAAACTATTGGACTGAGGAACATGCTTATATGAGAGAATGGAAAGGATCAGTGTGGCCATTGCAGGGAGATGGTTGCAACAACAAACCTGTGCTGTAAAGCCTGGGCTAACATTTGCAAGCTGAACTCTGATGGACAAAACCCCAAACTCATTGCCACAGTCTCTCACAGGCAAGTTGCACACCAATTCAGCCTAAATGGTAAGCCAGCCACAAAGTAAAACAGGAAAAGAAACAAGTTAAGCAGGAATGTTGTCCACTCCTCAAATAGCAAAGTGCACAATGAGCAACTCAACACTAAGACACTTATAATAGCCATGAAAACTCTGAAATATGGAAAAGCAACTGGACTCAATGGTGTATCTAATGAATGATTACTGCATTTTGTCACAAGAGTGCAGAATTGGCTGTTTGACATCTTTAATTCTTGCATGGAGACAACACAGACCCTTGGGCTGTGGAGACAGGCCAAAGTGAATGCACTAATCAGACCATATAAAGACCCTAGCTCTAGAAAGAGTTATCACCCAATATCCTTTTCTCAACCTACAAACTATATGCACAGATGATCATGTGTAGAATAGAGCCAATTGTGGAAGAGCAGCTGACTGATGACCAAGTCGAGGGCTAAGTTGCAACCCATCTCAAAACATCAAAGACAGTTTCTCAATCTGCAAAATTACAGGGTCTGTTTTTGTTGATCTGCCAGCTGCTTATGACACCATGAACCATTGTGCACTTCTACTGAAATTGACAAGAATTCTGAGAAAAAGCAAAATGGTCCAGGTCATCTCCTCCCTGCTTGAGAATCAATATTTTTTTTGCTGAGATGGATGTTCAGAAAAGTCAATGGCATACTCAACAAAATGGATTACCTCAAGGTTCAGTGTCATCACACTTGCTGTTTAATGTCTACAAAAATGACCTACCAGAATTCCCTGATGTGTGAAGATTCATTTATGCAGATCACCTTTGCATCACCACCCAGTCAGAAAGATTGGAGGACATTCTAAGTGCACTCTAAGTGGTTCCCTGAGTGTACTTGGAAAATATTATCTTACATGGTTCTTGAATGCTATTCCTAGAAAAAGACAAGTGTGCGCCATTCACCTGAAACACTATCAGGCCATGTGAAAACTTCAGATATCATGGGACGGTACAATCCTTGATTGCTATGAACATCAGGTGTACCTTGGGTTCACAGACTGAATGCTGACATTCAAGGAGCACATAAAGAAGCTGAAAAAAGTGAATTCCAGGAATTGTGTATTCCAGAAACTGGCCAACACAAAATGAAGAGCTGACCCTGAAACACTTTGAGCAACCAGTCTCACCCATGTTACTCAGCTGCATAGAAATATGCCCTCGTATACTCAAGCCATTCACATATAATTGATACTGAACTCAATAAATCCATTACTACCATAAGATAATAATCCTGTATGTTCTCAGAGGTTTCATTCCATAGTATATTGAGTTGTTGGAATTAATACTTTTCTTATTTCACATTACGTATTGTATCTTTTATGTGAATTATTGTATTGGTTCTTGAAAAATATATACATGTAGATTTTGAGAAATCCAAAGAATGAGATAATGTGAAGATTATATTTATTACTCTATGAGGGGAATAGGTCAACATTTAAAAACAGAAATGGCAAAATGGAAAAGAAATGATTCATATAATGTGTTTATAATAATTTATTTATAGAAAAATACATAACAATCAGGTGGCTGATGTAAAAGGGATCCACCTAAACAAAAACTTGCTTCAAAATATCATGTGCTGTAGCCTCACCCCAACCCTCCAAGAAATATATTTCCCTAGACAATTTTTATAATTATAATTAAAGTTGTTCATTACTGTAGTAATTACTCAGTATTACTGTACAAAGAAAGCACTTCGGATAACAGTTTACTGCTTTCAGAGACTCCATAAGCTAGTGTCATAGTTCACACATCAGATATAAGCATTCACATGAACTGAATTGATAGACAATCTTCTTTAACTTTCTTCTTAAATGAGATATTTAGAGATGGTATTTAAGAAAAAATATTGTTCATACACTTAACAGACAAAAACAATTGTAAAGTAAACAGAGAAAGATTGTTACTAGAACCAAATGGAACTAGTATCACTGCTCAAATAAAATGAGTGTTCTGGTGGCTGTTCTATTTCTAAGTTTTGAAAGTACATTGTTATAGCTCAAGTGCAAGTAATATATGATCCTTAAAGGTTTTATTTTTATTTTTAATTCAGCTTGCCATAAAATTAGCTTACAGAAAAAAACATAATTATAATTACACCAGCACAATTTGCATCTCTGTAGTTAAAGGGCTTCCAGCATTTTCATTAAATACTTCTGTTTTCATAGTCTACAAAAATATATTCTGGTCAGAATCTGCCATAAAACAGATCAGAAGAAAAATGCTTATTTTTTGTAAATTAAAGTTTGAAGAAAACACATCAGACTCTTTAGTGATAGATGATCAAAAGAATAGAAATGCTTCCCATTCCCACTCCTCCTTTTTTATTTTTTACATTTTTTATTAGTTTTCAAAATATAGAAATATTTTTTTCTAGCCAAGTAGTTTGATTTATAAGTAAGATGCACCAACTATGGAAGGACTCAAGTTGCTCTGCACAGAATACACTGAGGACCTTGGCTCCATGGAAGTCAGTGACAGTTTTGACAAAATTTCACCCTGGGACTTTGTGGGAGCAGGGGGATCCAGCAATGCTGGGGCAGCTGGCAGAATGGAGAGCTGGTTTTGGATTGTTATATATATTAATGTATAACAAATTGTGCTACACTGTTGGCAGCTAAATATTGTGTTTATCCATAAAGAGGAAATGAGAGGAAAAAGATATAAAAAATGGATCAGGCACTGATGTTTTTTTCATTGCTGTAACTCAAATCTGACTTTAAAATCATACATTTTAGTAATTACCTGTGAGATACATATATGGCTAACAAGAGCACAGCCTCTTTATGACAGATAAGCAGCTCTTGCAGTTTGTACTCCTTATTCAGGGAAGTCTCTCATTGGCTTAAAAATGGGAAGAATAACCATAAACCATTCTTTTTTTTTAAAGTGTAGATTATTAGCTTATCATATATAGGCTACAGTGTTATAGGTGCTGATACAATGATGATGGACATGGTATGAAACTTTAGTTTGGAGCTATTATAGTCAAGTAGATAAAAAATCAGCTTTTAAGAATATCTTTACATTCATAAATGACAAATGAAACCCATTTCAGTGTATCATTACACTATTTATAAATGTAAGTATATGTTTAAAAGAGTGTGCCCCCCCATTTATAAAAGAGAGACCCCATCTCAAAGAAGATCTTTATAGCCCTTCCCCCCCCCCCCCAATCATCCTGTTTAAATCTCAAAATTCTGTGGGTTCAAGAACATGTTAGGCTGCTGACCAAAATGATTTGGACCATTCTTCTCTGTGGTGAGGATGTGAGATGCTACCCATGAGAAGACAGGCTCATGTGATTGAGCATCTTGCCTTCTGGCTGTTTTGCTTCCTGAATTTGTGGAAACACTCACTTTTCCGTCGCAATCTTCAGGGCTTTATAGCCATAGTATCCTTTCCTGCACATCCCATGGCTGGATCTCCTTTCTGGCTGAACAAACATAATTTTGTCAAAATGTATGGTACCTAGGAGAAGTGCAGAATAACTTTCTGCCTATCCAAGTGGTAGTTTGCTGGTGAAGCTTCCTTTTCACCTGTGTTTCCTTCCCTGTTGTGGCC